CCTGTGACACATGAAAGAATGAGATACTGAGAGGGATACAAAGAAATATTTGAGAAACAGCGTGCCTAAACACAAGCAGGCCACATTCCTTTTATAATAAACAAGGACCATACACAAGATCCTTAGCTTGTGAACTTACAGAACAATGTTATGAATGGAGTTACAGCTGCAAGCTAAACCAGTCCATCTGGTCAAATTAGACCGTTCTAAATAAGCACAATGCATAAAAATTGTAGATTATTTTACTTTTTCTAAAATAGAAAAATTAACTGTATGTCGCAAGTCTCCAGTTACTTGCTTTGAAAAATCCGTATGTGGTAAATACCTTAGTCCAACAACTTGAGATAAACTCCGCTTTAGATAACTTCAGCAATGAGTCTCTCGTATGCAAAAAATAATGTAGTTTTGGTTTAGAAGCTATTTGAAACTGAGAATATTAGCAAACTGAGAATGTTGCATATTTTAACAAAAGGTTTAAAACAAAATAATCAAAATAATTTGCATGGTTTTTAACCCATAAAATGCAAATCATTATAAAAAAACCTTGTTAAGATATTCACAGGTAGTCAAATGCAGCTCAGACCCATATGTTTTGTAATTACTCTTTGTTGGACAGATAGTAGAACGTAAAGGAGTGTGAGTGATTAAAAACATGAAGGGAACGTCACAGTTCCAACCTGTAATTTTGTAGCACAGCAAGCTAAGTAGGAAATGGTAAAGGAAAGAATACAACAACAGGCAGAACTGCTCCTTCCAAGGCTGGGAATTTGCTTTCTAATTATTTTCCCATATTCTTTTCTTTTAGCTTTGTCTCGTTTTTTTTTTTAAATAGCTACACACAAGCAATGTAGGATCAGACATTTATGAGTAAATGTTAAGAAGGATATCCCTCCTTTTGTGGGCACAATTTTTGCAGGCACAGAATGAAATTGTGTATGCAATCTGAGTAAGTGCCCTTCGAACTTCCTCCTTTTCACCTGCAGTTGGGCAGCTAAGAAGTGCAAGTCCTCAGATCTGTGCCCAGAGTTCAACATACGGTGCAAAAATACAGCTGTACGTTTTTTGGGCTGAAATTGCGCTCCCACAAAAGGAAACCCCCACCCTTCTGAAAATAACACTTTATAGTCTTTGGACCAAATTTTCAAAGTAGGTCACATGGGACACCTAGAAAAATGCACATGTACCTGTTGTTCTCCACAAAACAAAATGTGTCCACAAGCAAACAGGAATTTTGTGAGAGCGAAACAGGCCAACTACCCATTTATACATGCAATTATCTGTGTGAACGTCAATGAAAGGTTATATAGGCCAAAGTATTTACTTCTCATCGGAAAATTTGGTCCTTTAAGTCATTTCTTCATGTTAATTTGGCAAATCATTTAGGGCCCAATCCAATATCCACTGAAGTCAATGGACAGACTCCAACTGGTTTCAACTGGTGTTGGATCAGGCCCTTAGGCTCATGTCAAGATTAAAGCTCTATTAGTACTGGCTAAAGCCAAGAATAGTGTGGCTAGTGGACACTCATTGTTCTCACGGGAATACATGTGAAGTTTATTGACTGTGTCCAATTACAGAACGGATTTTCTTTCTGGATAGAAGTAATTCATTCCGTATTTATAATTGTTTAACTATTAAACGCTGTTTATCTTAGATCTTACACTCTTCTTCGAGTGCTTGCTCATGTCAATTCCATTCTAGGTGTGTACGTGTCCATGTGCACAGTTATCGGAGACTTTTGCCTTATTGGTATCTGTAGGGTTGGCTGTGGCGCCTTCTGGAGTGCCACGCTCATGCGTCGGTATATCAGGCGCAACGGTCATACGCCTTCTCAGTTCCTTCTTACCACCCATGGTGGTTGGTCGGAGCACCTCTCCTCTTTGCTTCACAAGTGGTCAGCGGTTCTTTCCCTTTCTATTTTGTGCGTTACAGGCTCGGCCCACATCCAGCAGGTCCTACTGGGTAGAAGTAAGCCTTCCACTAGAGCAAACTACCTTGTCAAATGGAAACAATTCACGTGCTGGGCCTCGACCCAAGGGGTTAGGCCTGACTGCAGTGAGGCCTCTCAATCCTGGACTACCTTATGCATTATCAAGCTCCAGAGCTTCTCCCTTTCATCAATTAAGGTACACTTGGCTGCCATATCAACCTTTCACCACCCATTCCAGGGCAGGTCGGTCTTCACTGATAACATGTCCAGTTCTTGAAAGGTCTGGAGCAACCCCCAGGACCCAGTCTCTCCGTGGGACATCTGGTGCTCACGCGGCTCATGAGAGCTCCCTTTGAGCTTTGGTGTTCTGTTCCCTTCTTCTGCACTCCTGGAAGGTGTCATTCCTGCTGTTGATAACTTCTGCCCAGAGGGTCTCTGAGATTAGGGCACTTACCTCGGAGCCGCCCTATATGGTGTTTTTTCAAGGCTAAGGTCCAGCTGCGGCTGCATCCAACTTTCCTAGCCAAGGTGGTTTCACAATTTCACACGAGCCAGGATATATTTTTGCCAGTCTTCTTTCCAAAGCCTCGTACGTCTGAGGAGGAACGTAGGTTGCACTTTCTGGACGTCAGAAGAGAGCTAGCATTCTATATTGAGAAGACCAAGCCATTTTGCAAGTCAACACAGTTATTTGTTGCAGTGGCAGATAGGATGAAAAGGTTGTCCAGTATCCACCCAGAGAATTTCATCTTGGATCACCACCTGCATCTGATTTTGCTATGATTGGGCAAAGGTACCTCCAACCGCAGTTGTAACTGCCCACTCGACTAGGGCGCAAGCTTCGGCGGCAGCCTTCCCAGCTCATGTGCCAATTCCAGATCTCTCCACGGCCACCACCTGGTCGTCCAGTCACACGTTCACATCTCACTTTGAGCTTACCCAGCAAGCCTGAGATAACGCTGGCATTGGTAGAGCAGTAGTACAAGCCACATGTCTGTGAACTCCGAGCCCACCTCCAGGGATACTGCTTGTGAGTCACCTAGAGTGGAATCGACATGAGCAAGCACTCGAAAAAGGAAAAAACGGTTAATTTTTGTAACTGTTATTCTTTGAGATGTGTTGCTCATGTCCGTTCCATTACCCGCCCTCTTTGCCCCTCTGTCGGAGTTGCCGGCAAGAAAGAACTGAGAGGGAATAGGGCCGGCAGAGCCTGATATACCAACACATGAGCGCGGCACTCCAGAGGGTGCCACAGCCGACCCTATGGATACCGCTCAGGCAAAAGTCTCCAACAACTGTGCACATGGGCACGCACACCCCTAGAATGGAATGAACATGAGCAACACATCTCAAAGAACAACAATTATGAAAAGATAGGTAACGGTTTTTTGTAATTAGTTTACCCAGAGAAGAACTCAGTGGAGCCTGGTCACTGAAGCAAAACCAATGAAATACCTCTAGACAGCAAAAAGCTCTGCTTTTGGATTGGTCTATCTCCCTAGCTATCAGAAATAATGGATGCCCCATTAGTCCCAGTTAATGCAGGGGAATCCAGAAATTCAATTTCTAGGTAGGAAAATCTATTCATCTCAAGACACTTTACAGAGAGAGAGAAAATAATGAGATAACACTTCACAGAACTGGATACAGTATGACTCTCAGACAGCAGAGCAAAACACTGCAGAGAAACTGTGTGGAGTAGAAAGAGCAAAATGTGTAATTTAAGAGCAGCAAGGAGGTACTGTAAATAGATATTCTTGCATAATATTAGGCTAAGAGTAGAGATAAAGGTGGCAAGAACAAGCAAAGGGGAGAAGAGGTTGGAGGTTAGTTACATGGATGACTCTCAAAGGAGAGAGTTCCAGGTAGATGGGACTGCAAAAAGCAGGCAAACTATTCCCAACCAGAAAGAAATTACAGAGAAGATTTTAAGATGAAAGAACAGTGGTCAGAGGAGTAGGTGGATAAAAGATTGACCGCTTAAGTCCAGGGGACCTCCTGAAAAGTACGACAATTTTGGCATCAGTTTGGAAAGTGTGAGAGTTATCTAAAGACATAAAGAGCTTCATCTCAGGCACTCTGAGAATGTTACAGTAAGGAAGCTAGATATTCCCATGTTGGAACGTTTCAATTGAGGAAATGTGCTGGACTTGAGGGAGCAATTTGATTGGCTAAATTCCTAATTCATGGCATTATGGGGACATGTGCACATCCTGGAACTACTTAGCTCTACTCATTTTTGCCTTTTTTTCCCCCCTTAATGGGTACAACTTTCAAAAGCTGGCACAACATGTGAAAATATGCATCAGTAAATTGCCTCACTTGCATGCACAAACAAAATGTGCACTCAGATACCCATTTGCGTGTATAACTCCTCTTCTTAGAAGACTATATTTGCTTAGATTCAGTAATCAAATGTTTTTTCATGTTAAAAAACGTCCAATAATGTACCATTTTTCCTAAACCTCACTGTCCTACCCCATCTAAGTTCCTCAATTTATTATTATTGAATAGAAAGAATAGACACTTATTTACTATTTACAGATATTAAGAGTGTTATACATGTATCTAAATTACTCCCCAATTATATGAAATAGAATAACATAAGTGCTTTTATATATAATTTCACTGTAATGTAATGTAAATGTAAAAGTAATGAAAGAGAAAACTGTCTGGTCTATACTTGTATTTAAGTAATCATGTTTAAAAAAAAGGCAAAGTTAGATGACAGGGATAATTTTCACATTTAAAATTGTAGTACCCTTTTTTGACTTAATGCAACCTGATTTTTCTCTGGAAAGGTATTTTTTCCAGTACAGTATCCTGTATCAACGTGTACCCCTTTTAAACAGGTAAGTAAATACATAATTCAAGGTGCTTATACAAACTTTATACAGTATGCTGCTATTTTTATGGTATTGTGAATCTGCACAGCAGGAGAAACTAATATTTTGGGAACATTTACTTTGAATAAAAATATCAAGTTTACATATGGAATTGAGATATTTGGTTGATTTTTAGGTTTGGGGTTCTTCTGGCAGACATAAAGCAAATTTTCAGTGGTGTTTACCATTCTCATTGCTATAGTTCATCAGCATGCCACAAAAGACAGTCAAGAGCTTCTCATTGGCTGGATCTGTTTTACTGCACAGTGACCTTAAATGGTCTACTACAATCTGTGCACCACCTGCATGGTCAACTGCACTCCTGCCCTCATCTGTAAAACAAAGAGTTAAATTTAAAAAAATAAAATAAAAAAACACCTTAGCGTTCCAAACATAACCATAAGCATACAAAAGGAGACGTTCTTAAACAGAGTTAAGTGTAATCCCTTCAGTGATGTCAAATTCATTTTCAAGGCCACTTGTGGGCCAGATTTTAGAGGACCAGTGCTAGGAAAGAGAAACCATCCTACAATAAAAGGATTAATCAGCTGGTACTAATACTTTTATAAATAACAAGTTCAGTGTTTGAGTCAGAGCCACAGGAGGTAATAATTAATAATACTTTGAACATATGTAGCATTTTTCTATTGAAGGATCTCAAAGCACTTTACAAACACTAATGTGTACACCATTGGGAGGAAACTTGTTCTAGCCACTATTAAGATTAATAAATTCAGGCACAGAGAATAAAGTAACTTGCTCAGTTCTACACAGCAAATGAAGAACAGATCCAAACACATGACAGGGGATATAGTGAGGATCTTGTTTCCCAGTCACCAACTCTGTTCACGAGATCCCACTGCCTCCCTCCATATTCTTTTTGCTTTTCCACCCTAAGTTTAAAATCACTATGAAGATTTACTCTGAATTTCTAATAGGCTGAAATGCTCTGGGCCTTCCTGTGTAACATGTCAAATTCTTCATATCAAACTCACTCTCTAACTAATCAGCTTTTAGAGCTCTAGTGTAGGAAGCAAAGAAAAAGGGCGCTTTATTCGTGTTCAACCCTAACACATTTTTTCTCAGGTTGGTAACCAGTGGCATACAGCATTTGATATTCTGAATAGTTGGTTCCCAAAAGCAGGCATGTCAAGATGGGTTATAATTCGAGCCTGTCGGAAAATTTTAATGAAAACAAAATCCTGATGAAAAAGCAAAAATGAAGTTTTGCACACAGAAAAAAACATTTTTTTAAATTGTTTAGTAGCATTTTCCCTTTCAATTGTAATTCATTTCTTGGGCTCTCTCTCCCCATTCTTCCACCCCACTGAGTTCTTGAGAGCCAGGCTGCAAAGTCTTCTCCGGTATCTCCTCCTCCATACACTCAATATGAAATGAGATTGCTCAGATTCTGAGAATGGATTTCCACTGCTGCAAATACTTCAATCTTCTGTAAAAGAGGTTTTAAATCATTTAGTTCTTGTTGACATGAATTCTATAAAAGCTTGCTTTGGTCTTTCGACAGGGTGCTCAGTAAAGTAAAGAGGAGAAGGCTGAAGATGAGAGAAAGAACTCTTGGTGGTGGGCAATAGAACAGCTGGTCATCTCAGGTTTTCATTTTAGCACCACATATATGGTGTTTTGCTGAACAACAATACAGTCACACTGGATACAGGCACAGTAACAAAAGAAGAAGAGTAACGCCACTATGAGCTTCTTCTGTCTGATTAATGCCTTTGGAGGAATGACTCAAACCAACCATGGAAATTCTCTTGGAAAACTGCGAAATTTAATTTGTTTGGGGGTCAAACCAAGTGTGCTTGCAGGGATAAATCCTATGACAAGCAAGGAACACAGAAAAAAGGATATGTAAAACAAACAATCCCCAAACCCTGTTGAAGTGATGAATGGAGGACTGAAACAGTAATGAAATCCCTGTCCAATGTAATAAGACAAAACAGGCTTTATTAGGTGCCAGATAGGTGGCCACATTTACTGAGCCAGCAGGGAAAACACTTGGCTGTACGATTCAAACATTTTTTCTTTATATACCCAATTCCTTAGACAGTGTCTTTCCAACAACAAAACGACTCACATATTTTACATGAGCATTTTTAATTGAAGTGAGTGTATAAAATGTTAGGGTTTCATCTGTGTTCAGATTTAAAAGTCAGAATTCTGATCTCAAACGGGTGTAATACAATTGAAGTGAGTAGAGCTAACCAGTATAAAACTCCCTTGACATAAGAATTAGGCCGAAAATCTGGTTCCATACCTTGTGTATCAATTTACATACAAAACTTGAAGACAGAAACATGAAAAAAGTAGGATGGCTTCATTTATTTTTGGTCCCTGCTAAAATAATCATGGGCCAGATCCTCTACTGGTGTAAACTGGCATAGCTCCACTGAAAGAATGGAGCTCTGCCAATGTACACCAGATGAGGATCTGGCCCCATAAATCCTTCTATTCCATTCTTCCTCTGATTTGTAACAGAAATTAAGTACTGAACACTACCATACTTTAAAATATTTAGCACTCTTCCACTTCAAATGCTTGACATTATCTAAATCTCCCAACACTCTAATTAGGTAGTAAATAATTACCCCTATTTTACAGATAGGATCTTGGTTTCACTGCTCCCTGCATGTCACAGCTCAAGTAAATGAGGGGAACTACGCAGGGAGTTTAGGTGGTGGTAGTAGGTCACAAGGAGAGAATCTTCATTTGGGAGGCAAGATGCAGTGCATCTCTGCAGCCCCTACATGCAGGTTTTGGCTGGTAGACCTGTGTAGTCACATATCCACTGGCCACATCCCTCCTCCACACCAGTGACCAGCTTTGGAGGTCACTTCAGAAATAACCAGGTGCAGCTGCTTCTCCACTCCCTACTGAGCAGAAGAACCATGGTGGAATTGTAATTAGGACCTCCTGCCTCTTGCTCCCTTTCCATGCTCAGGAGGACTGGCCCAAAGTGATTTGCCCAAGGCCACAGAAGAAACCTGTATCAAAACTGGGAGTGAACTCTGAAGTTCCTTGCTATCAGATCACTACAACACATTACATCTCAAAATACAAAGAAAAATAGCATACTCCAGATTCAGCATGCTGTTTTGGTGCTCACTACAAATTCCCTTCCCTCTTCCCCACTCAGTATCTAAGCCACAGACTTTGCATGTACGCATGCTCACTAGATCCCAAGTCATTTACCATCAACACAAGATTATAGCATGAGGCAATGTCTTGTTCTCAATCTGACTGCTACTTCATAGTTTAGCACTCCCACACTTGAGGAGCTTCCAGTCCTCCAGTAGCTTGGTGCTGAATTTTTTTCTTATGTGACTTTTTCAAATAAACATTTGCTATTCCTGTGAGCTTAATGAGCGAACAGCATAATGAGTGAATTCACATCTCTGCTGAATATGCATCACTGTAGCTTACAGAGGGTTTTATACCATTTTTTTTTTAAAGGAAGTTTAGTGCTGTTTAAAGATGCCAGACTGACAGCTTGGGAGACTGGAGAATTATTTCTCCCAAGAATGTGAATAGCACAGACCTAATACAGTACAGTAATTGCTTCATCAATCCTAACCCTAAGGGACCATCTGAAAGGGTGAGCGAATACTTCAGTCTTCCTGCTAAATGCCTGGCCTCACTGCTGAGTTGCTCACAGAGCTTTAGTGTGGATTAGGTTTTCACGTGGATCTCAGACATACTATGCATACTTACCTATTTCCCACAAAAGGACAGCCCCTCAAAATCCCCCTTCAGTTCACTCTCGCCTGAGCTCATGGCAGTTCATAATAATGATTCTCCAACCAGGGAGCCCCAGGTACAAAGCGAAATTGTCACAGATCATGGGATTAGCACAATTCTCAAGCTGTATTAGAAGAAAGGGCCAAACAATCCACTTGTATGGAACAGGAAACTTGGCAACTGTTTCTGCCAAATTTTTCCACTGAGATGGGTAAGGGGAGGGCGTGGGAATTTCTGTGAAGCTGTCAGAGGCTGTAGGCCCTGTACAGCTGTTTCGTGCCTCTGAACAGCTTTTGGGGTACTCCCACCTTTAAAGGACCATCCTTTAGCTGGGGATTCTGTTTAGCGGTGGGGGACTGGTATAAATTAAACATAAGAGTTAGTATTAATTGATGGCAAAAATCCTTGCCAGGCAGAGGAGGTTGGTGCAGCTATCCTTCGCCTCTGACCTGGGCCTCTAAAGCCCAATTCTTGAAGAGGGACTTCAAAGGGAAGGGGAGAGAATGATAAAGAGCTTGCATTTCCAACCTTCTCTCTCTGCCCAGATCAGCTGCTTTCTGCTCCTCTTCATTCATGGAGGTAGAAAGGAGCATTTGATTCAAAGGAAGAGTTTAACCAAGAGAAAAAAACAAGGAATGACAGTATACTCTCATCGACCTTAAATATGCATAACTAACTATGAGTTATGTATGAAGATTAGAAAATATGTCACTCATTTTCTAGGGGGTTTAATATATTTTCAGATATTTGATACATAGCTGGAAATGAAAATCCAGGTACAATTCACCTTTCCAAAATGAATCCCGAAACTCATAATCCGAGAAGGTCAGTGACATGAAGACTTGGAATTAAACTGCTCCACTTTGCCTTCCCCAGAGTCTGACTATATCATTCTCTCCTGAGCTTCCTGCCCCCACTTGCTAAACTGTGCAATCCAACCAGCCATGCCTATGGTTCGTAAGACATGACAGAACGAGATGAAGTTAAAGCCCTGGGTCAAACTATGAAGGCAGGATACCAGCGTTATTGTGTTTGAAATATTTGTGCTAATATTTTGCTTATTGACATCAGGGTGAGTTTACTGCCTGTGAAAACAAGGTTACAACAGAACAGAGATCCAGCCAATATAGGCAGGTGTTGGGAAAGAGTTCCTAAAGCAGTTCATCCAATGCAGCTTAATCCCAGCTTGTCTTAGTTTTGCTAACACCAGCCCTGGGCCTTTCTTTAACATGGGGTTTGAGCTATGCAAATAGGAATGATATTTGAAGATGCGGACATACCCATCTGTCATAGAATGGAACAAAACCATTTCTTATTAGTGTCCCTGTAAGGATATTAAATCTAGGCCTTCAGAGGCTGAAGGATAGCTCAGTTCGAGATAGCTCTGAGAGATCCTCCAGTTTGTGACTTTATTGAGGCATTTGAATACATTGTCCCAGTTCTTTTGTTGCTCTAAGGTTTTACCTTCTTAGTCTTCAATGTTTAATGGCAAACTCCAGTTACTGGTTATGATATCTTAGGCCCTGATCCTGCAGACTTATATGCATAGTTAATTTTGCGCATAGTCAGTCCCACA